TTTTTCCGTGTTTACTAATCATGTTTGTGTGTCAATGCAAAGGTTTAAAACTACTGAGAATCTCTGGGAAAATAAACGATTAAAAAACGGATAAAAATGGGAAAAAGCGCTTTAGCGATTGATGGGTGTTGGAAATCTTCATTCGTTTTATTTAGAAAAATGAAAAAAGGGGTGCCAATTAAGTAAAGCAACAGTGCCAGGCAAATAAAAAAGAAAGAAGAGAAGGAGGCGGTTTCAAGCTAAAAGTGCTTAATAGTGGTCTTGGTGATGGTGCTGATAAATAGATACTATTCTACCATTTCTAGTAAATGTGAGTGAGTGTGTGAACAGATCTCTTCTGTTTCACAACTGTTCAGCAATGTGACACTTAAACATGGACGACGGCAGTCATTGGCAAAACGGGTTTTTGCTGCTGCAGCTGTGTTTGTGCGGTGTTGTGCTGTCAATGGCTGACTGACTAACTGACAATTAGCAAATGCAAAACGAGAGAGAGAGAGAGAGAGAGAGAGAGAGAGAGAGAAAGAGAGAGAGAGAGAGAAAGAGAGAGAGAGAGAGAGAGATAAAGCTGGCGAATATGTCAACCAACAAGGGCAAGAGGGTCACCAGAGGTTTTAGCAACACACAGCTTGCAGACAAACATTGCCCGTTTATCTGTTTGCCCTCTCTCTCTCTTCTCCGTTTACACTTACTGACCTAGTGCCCCTCAGAACCGATTTCACCTTGAGACAACCACCACCACCACCACCACCACCACCACCTGGGCAATCATTTGATCAGCAGAAAGGTGGAGATCAACGATGACATAACCGTGGCGATGGCAGCGGTGGTGGTGGTAGTGGTGGTGATGATGATGATCACTGATCACTGTCCTGTCCTGTCCTCTGACACCGTGAACACCGTGTTTGCCCTCTGATTGACCACGCTTCCAGCGGCAGACGGACTCTCCTCTCTCCCTCTCTCTCTCTCTCACTCCATTCGATCATCCATACTTTATCCTGACCAATTCGACAACGACGACGACGATCATCGACTTGACAGCAGCAACAGCAGCAGCAGCAACGGCGTTTGACTTGTTCACTCTTGTCACTCACCTGAGGACATACATCAGTCTGAGCAGTTCTCTACCTACCTTTCCCTACTTACATCTCCTGCGGCTCGATTAGCTGTTTAGCCGCCGCCGCCGCCGCCGATGCTATTCTCAGAACCGAGATCAGCTTTCAACTGTGCGGTGGCTAGCCTGCCAGCTTAACAGCCTGACACGATCACCCACTTAGACTATTTTCTCGCTGTGTGTCAAGCAGGCGGACAGAAACAGACGGACAGAAACAGAGACTAGCTGGCCGATGCTGCTGCTCAAACACTGTCGCACTAATGGCACTAATGTCTGCCAGTGAAAAGGGGTGAGAAGAGTGGCTACCAATGGCTGCCTGGCTAGCTCTAATAGTCAACTTCATATCGCTGACGCCGCTGCCGCCAGGCACTGGTAATGGTAGTCCAGCTCACTCACTGTCTCACTGACTGACTTCTTCAGATGACATCATTTGACTGTCATTTTGTCTTGCTGTTGATGGTGGTGGTGGTGGTNGACTAGCTGGCCGATGCTGCTGCTCAAACACTGTCGCACTAATGGCACTAATGTCTGCCAGTGAAAAGGGGTGAGAAGAGTGGCTACCAATGGCTGCCTGGCTAGCTCTAATAGTCAACTTCATATCGCTGACGCCGCTGCCGCCAGGCACTGGTAATGGTAGTCCAGCTCACTCACTGTCTCACTGACTGACTTCTTCAGATGACATCATTTGACTGTCATTTTGTCTTGCTGTTGATGGTGGTGGTGGTGGTGGTGGCCGCAGCCTGACCATTGCTACCATTACCAGCTGTGTACCACAGAACAACAACTGCCATCAGCACGGGCAGATGATCGATTGAAGAATGATCGAGGTGAGGTGACTGAGGATTACAACTGCTGCTGCCTGCTTAAGAAAAGGGCAGAAAATAGAAAACAAAGTAGACAAACACCATTTACCAGCGTAAAACAATAGCCAACAACTTGCTGTTGTTGTCGTTGTCGTTGTGTGTACAACAGATGTACTTCTGTATTGACAGTGATATGATTTCCATTAGCGTGTTTGTGCTGCTTACTCAGGTAATGTAGGTCGTAGTTATCGTTTTAAAATAGATAATAAAGATAAACTTGCTGATACGGTGAAGCCAAGGTCGTCACGACAACTTTTACGTTTTGCCACTGGGAAAGCAATTTTAGTTTTTTTTGTATAAATAAAACAATTTTTCTCTTGTATTCAATTTTTTAAAGTTTAAACAACATTGTCAACGGTGTCAGTTTTTGTACTAATTTAAAGAAATGAATCAACTGTATAACAGTGTCAAGCAACGGTAACAGAGAGTCGCTTTGAAAACAGGAAAAAATGTAAAAAGAGAAAAATTTGTTTGAAAGTAAACCACTTTAGAAGAACAATCAGTGGATGCCCAAATGATGTGACGTTTTAGTTATAAACAAAAAAGTAAGNTTTAAAGTTTAAACAACATTGTCAACGGTGTCAGTTTTTGTACTAATTTAAAGAAATGAATCAACTGTATAACAGTGTCAAGCAACGGTAACAGAGAGTCGCTTTGAAAACAGGAAAAAATGTAAAAAGAGAAAAAATGGTTTGAAAGTAAACCACTGTAGAAGAACAAACAGTGGATGCCCAAATGATGTGACGTTTTAGTTATAAACAAAAAAGTAAGTAGATTTGATAAATCAGAAGTTTGCTTGTCCGTGTGTTGAAACAGTGCGAATGCGCAGTAGTCTATTTGGGCAACATAGAAGTAGTAATAGAGACTTTGTAATATTGATAACAGTGAGTAGTGATGATGATAAGTTAAAGGGGAATAAAGGTAGGGGAAAAGGAGATTACTAAAGCAAACAATTCTATCAGGTTTTTTGGATGGAAATGGAAAATTCGGTGATCCAATGTCATTGTGTATGAATGCCAATAAGTAATGTTTGTGTAAATGATAAAAAAAGTTAGCTGTTGACGCAAAACAAAAAGTTGTTAAGTCTAGTCAAAAATTTTAAAGTTTAGTAAAAATTGACAAGTTTGATTTGATTATTGCTAGGTAAATGAAAAACAACTATTGACAAAATAAAGTATCAGATAATTTAGAAACGAATATCATTTCGTTTGCATCTTGTTTGCCAACTGATTTTTGATTGCCGTTGAACTACGACTGCCAACTCATGCCTTTACTGAAATTGACTAGAACGTGTTCAATTATTAAAAACAATATAACAAATGAGTTGAACGTGATGAGCCTTTGTAAGTATCATAAAAATAAAAAACTAAAACTGATAAAATTCATGTCATTGAGATCACGCAATTACCAAGCAATAAAGAACCATTAACAATAAAACAAACTAAATTACTTTTGAAACTGTTGGTTCTGAATAACAATTGATATCAATTTGTTTTGATGGTAATTAATTACAATAAAATATCAACAGTCAAATCTGAGCTTATTGTATTCATCACCAACACTTTCGCTGTTTAAAATAGCTCATTAAAATTGTTTTGAGATCGAAACACTGTTATTAGAAACAAAAGAAAAGAAAAATGATGCTTCAAAATACGAAACAAATGTTGAAAGTTGCAACTGTTTGGTCGCGTGGAAGAAAACTTCAAGGTTTAGAAGGTTTTGGAGATTTGTTTGATTAAAATAATAGTAGTAGTAGCGGTTATTAAGGTAGCAGTGTTGTATATTTTTGGGCTCACTTTGTTTTCCAACAACAGTGAGTGCAGATAGGCTACGAAATGATACGTGGTGAAAAGTAGGGGAAACACTTGCACACTTGAAAACTCATCTTCAGTATCTTTGTTTTGATTATTCCAATTGCAGACAATTACTTGCAATCCTCTTCATCCTCATCAACATCATTATCAAAAGCGCCGAAATTGTGGTAATTTTCTTGATGTCCACCACCACCACCACCACCACCACCACCTGCATTGTTGACAATGTCTCCGTTGGGCTGTTGATTGCGAAGTGTTTGTGATGAGGTGGAAGGTTGTTGAGCAGCTGCTTCCGCTGCCGCCGCCGCCGCCACCACCTCCACCACTGATCCATCGTAGCTGGAGGCAGTGGAAGTTCGCCGACTGATCTCCCGCATGGAGTCGTCCATTGCCTGCTGCGTCACCGTCTCTGAGACCTCCTGCACGGCGATGGCCATCGAGGTGCTGATCGAGGTTCCCTCTGACTCCTGCGCGAGCATCTCCTCAAAGTTGACCATCTCGCGATCGTAGTTGCTGCTGCTGCTGCCAGTGCTGGCTGCTGCTGCATCTGCACTTGAACTTGCATTGGTCGCAGTTGCTGCTGCCGTTGTTGCTGACGACTCACTGCCCAGCATGGGCTTGCACTCAATCTCCGGCGTGGGCTGAATGATGACGCCCATCTGGGGCGCCATCAGCGTCATTGGAGCTGGTGGCGGAGGAGGCGGTAATGATGTGGTCCCTTCTGCTGTTCCGTCTGGCGGTGATTCGGCAAAGTCGGTGCTCATGGCAATCACAGGCGGAGGGGGAGGAAGCACTGGAGGGGGCGGCGGGAGATTTGGAGCCGCCGCTGAAGAAGAAGTGGGAGGCGGCGGCGGCGGTGGCATTGAAAGTGAACCAGGCAGTGGTGGCGGCAGATTTGGCACGCCAATGCTCATCATCTCTTCATCGTTCATGTCCTCGTCCTCATCCTCATCCTCGTTTTCATCTTCGTCGTCATCCTCCTCCTCCTCATCATCATCGCCGCCGGTGACCAGAACTGAGGGAAAGTGGCCCACGGCGCCGGCCTGATTCTCGCCCGTCCACCAGCCGTCATCAGTGCTGCTGTCCAGTATCTTGATCATCTCACCGGCGGCGAAGGAGATCTCCTCCTCATTGGTGGCCACGTAGTCGTAGGCGGCTCGCACGTACACCGACCCATCATTTTCGCCGGTTTGAGGAGGTGGTGGGGGCGGTGGCGGCAGTGGCAGGTCCTGCGAGAACTCCTCCACACTGCTGGTGCTGTTCAGCTGCTGCTGCCCGGGGTGGTGACGGGCAGAGGAAGAAGCCGCCGGTGGTGAGAAGACGTTCGAGGTTGATGAGTCGGCCGGCGGCGAGCTGATGGAGACGGTGGTCGTGGTGCCACCGCCCATTCCTCCTCCTCCTCCTCCTCCTCTGTCATTGTGGTGCTCACTGGTGCTCTCGGTGCTGTTCAGTGAGGTGCCCATGGAGGGCTGCGAGACGCCCGCCAGCGAGTGGTCGCCCTGGCCGGGCATCTCCTGCAGGTAGGCGGCCGGCACGTAGCCGTACTGACCTGCAAAGGAAGAAAAATGTGTTGATTGATAACTTTTTGATAGCAAATCTTCCCAGTTGTTTACCTCGATCATTCTGCGCCCGAACCCAGTCTCGATCGGAGGCGTCAATGACCGAGACAATTTCCTGCTCAGTCACCGACAGCTCGTCCTCGCCGGCGCCCTCGTAGGCGTACAGGACAAAGCACTGCTTGCCCACAAGAGAAAATCTAAAACAAAAGTTTAGGTTGAAAATTAGTTTCGGCTTATCTTATTTATCATACAAAATCCAAGAACTTACCCATCAGTAGCCGCCTGCTCTCCGTACGCCTGGCTATCCTCAAAGCTGTTGTCGTTGTTGTTGTTGTTGTTGCCGCTGCCGTTGTTTGCCTGTGCACCACCAGAGGGTGCCCCGACGGCGGCAGGCGCCGAGACGGCCACCGCCGGCGGCTCCTCGTCCCACCCGGTGACCGCCGTCGGGTCGTAGTCCATGGCGCCCCAGCCGCCGGCGGAGGCGGCAGAGGCGTAGGCCGCCGAGCTGGGCGCCGGACTGGTGCACTCCACACTGCTGCCCAGCTGCAGCACCTCGCGGTCCGGCGAGTCGAGCTGCTCTGCTGAGGAGGACGACTCGGGGCGCATGTGATGTGAGTGCTGCTGCTGACCGCCACTCGAATCAACTGTGTCCCCTCGGTTCGGACTGTTGGCAGAAGAAGAAGTTTTTTTGTATTTTAGTATACATTATTATGATTAAAAATGTTTTGTTTTTTTGTTTAGTTTTTAAAACGTACACTGGCGATTTTGCCTCTGCTGACGACGAGCCGATGCCGCCCACGTTGGAGCGCATCGAGGAGGTTCTGCTGAGCGACCCGCCGCCGGTGATGTCCATCACGTCCAGTGACTGCTGCTTCATCTCCATCGCCGCCTGCGCTTCAAAGTTCTCAAAGTCCTCCACCTCAGCGCCGCCTAAAGTGGGGAGAAGGGGAAAATGGTAAGCAACATCGGATTAATTTAAAATTTCTTATTCTAGTAATTTGTGTTTTGAGCAGTTTGCACTTACTTTCTCGAATCACCTGCAGTCGAGCTCGTGCCTTGATTTTGCTGATTTCACACTTGCGAATTTGTTGGCGAATTTCGTCGATTCTCGTCTCAATGTCCACCTGACCGCTGCCAGTCACATCCACCGTCTGTTTGCAAGTATTTCTTATGTTAGTAAGTTTTGCTCATTTTTCAAAACATTAGTTAGTTTTTTTGTACCTTGTGTCCCTCCATCTGCAGCGCCTGAACGCGCACCAGCTGAGCCGAAAGGCGATTCAGATTGCGACATTCTTTGCAGAACCAGGAGAACCATTTCTGGCCCTCATTTCTCAGCGCAATGTCGGCATTGTGCTCCAGACTAATGTAGTCGATGCTGTCATTATCACACGGCTGAAAGTCGTACGTCAGAGTTTCACTAAAGTGAAGTAAGTGGAATGATTTGTTTTGTTTCAGTTAGTAGTCAAAAAAAGTAGGCATGACTCTTACGTGATGCACAGCGAATGGGGGTCCTTGAGAAAGACGGAGTTGGTGTAGTCGGCGGAGGAGTGCTCCATCGTCTCATTGCACCGGTGGATGACCTCGTGCCAGTTGGTGACCATGTCCCGCTCCGACTGAAGCAGTGTCATGATGAAGGACCGACACTTGTCCAGCACCGCGTCGTCAATCGTGAACATCAGATTGGGCAGATCGGTGCCATAGTAGTGGCCGAGGTGGGCGTTGCCCGCCGCCAGTGCCATGATGTAGTCGTTGCGGGCCTGAAATAAGGGGGAGAGAATGAAAGTGTTTTTCAGACCAATTTAAAGTTTAGCCTTTCAAATAATAACCAAAGCGTAAAAGGCTTAAAACAGTTAAATGGAATTTACCTGCGTCGACTGAATGTCACTTGCTTCACGGTGTGCTGACGTGCGCTCCTTTTTAGTCTGCAAATTGGCAAAAGAGGAGAAAATGCCAGTCTTGCGTTTCTTAATCCTGTCGTATCAGTCATGTCAGTCATTTTTTGTTTAAATTTGAGTTTTTTTGTAATGATGGTGTACGTCAAAAAATAAATAAATAAATGTTTGTTTTAGAAAAAGACAAATCATTAGCAATTTTGTAAAAAAAAGTTAAAAAATATAACATCATTTATTGAGGCATAACTAAATAAAAAATAATTGAACTTGGAAAGGACTATTTGGGAATCATTAGTTTATCTTCAACTACAACCTTAATCACTAGATTTTTTTATTTTTTCATCATTAAAGCTAGAATATAAAAAACAAAATGGCAAATTGTACGTACTTTTCTTCTTTATCTCGTGCCTGTTTTGCAAGGTGCTCTTCTTCAAAGTAGAGTTTTCTTGTTTTGTCAATCTCTGAAACTGAGTTGACAATTTCTTCTTGCATTTTCCTGGTTAAAACAAACAAAAATTGTAATTAGTTAGTAAAAAAGCTTGTTTTTATTTTATAAAAAACAAATTAAAAATGATTATTTATAGATGACTTGAAACTGAAAGTTAGTGAAGTGAGTGAAACTGACAACAGCAACAACAAAAAAAGTTTGTCTGCAAAGGGAATTAGTTTTGCAAAAAGTAAAGTACAGATTACTGCTTNCTCTAGTGAAGTGAGTGAAACTGACAACAGCAACAACAAAAAAAGTTTGTCTGCAAAGGGAATTAGTTTTGCAAAAAGTAAAGTACAGATTACTGCTTAAGAGAAATGAAAAGGATAAAAAGGAGGGTTTAAAAGCAGTGACATAAGCTGATTATCACAAAATGAACGAAACTTTACAGTGCTGCGGCATCACCAACACTAATAGCAGTTTTGAGTCAAGTTACTTTACTTTCAAAAAACTCAAACTTGCCTTTCCACACGCACACACGCACATCTTCACAATGCAAAAGCGATAAATGAAAGTGAAGTGAGCAAAAACAAATAGTGAAATGAGAAGTAATAAAAGCAAACTGAAAAAAACTAGACTAAAAAGCTATTTGTTTAAAAAATAGGTTTTTCACATTTTTTGGTAAAACCAAACAGTCAGTCAGTCAATTAGGCTAGCACTTACTTGAGATGGTTGTCCAAACACTTTTTGCTGACAGTGGACTTGTGCGAGCGAACCGCCTTCAACTGGTCACAGGCGCTGCTGAGCTGTTCAAAGACAGTGATGCGACTCTTGGCGTGCTTCTCAATGTCCTCCTGGTAGACCTTCCAGGCGGTGTACACCGTTCTGATGAGTGAAACAATTGTTAGTCACGGTAAACAAAAGTTGTAGAAACAGAAGAAAATGTCCCCTTTTTGAATGCAAAACTTACTTCACATCGGAGATCTCATCCTCGGCGGCGCAGAAGCTGAGCAGTGAGCTGCTCCGCTTGGAGTGGGCACTGTTGAGTTTGGCCAACGAGGTGGCGTAGTTCTGTTCGATGGTACAGCGGGTCTTCAGGTACAGTCGCAGGTCGTCCAGCAGTTCAGTGTCGGTGCTGTGCTTCAGCGCCAGACGGGCGCTCTGCTCGGCCAGCGTCGACTTGGCGGCGGACACCAGGGCGCCCGCCTTCGTGGAGTGATGCTGGTGCGCAGAGGAGGAGGAGGAGGAGGTGCCGTGGTGGGCAGGAGAAGAGCTGGGGCCCTGGCTGCCCCCACCCGATCCCTGCAGATTAGGGGGCGGAGTGGGCGAGGGAGAGGGGGCGGGGGAGGAGGAGGAGGTGGCCATTGTCGCCAAGATGATCAGACAATGCTTTCTTAAAGGACCACTTAATATGGCAGCGTTGTTGGAAACGTAAGCTGTGCTACAGTTTGAGGTAGGTTTTGTCGGGGGTGAGTGTTAGGGGCTGACGATGCAGGAAAATGATGAGGTGGTGGTGGTGGTGATCATCAGAATCAACTGGAAAAAGCGGAAAGCAGAAGAGAAGTCCTGAACGCACATAAATAAGAAATAAATGATTTGAAAATGGCGTTTATGTGGAAGCAACGGTTGAAAAAAGATTGAAACTGTTCAGTTGACTAGAACAGTCGAATCAGAGGTTTTTCACATTATCTGGGTGAGCAAGTTTGATCAATATTTTAGTGTTGTTTTGAAGATGATGATTACGTAGGAGTACGTGATTTTAGTAGCAGTGCTAAAGAGTTGATATCGCGGAACGGACTGTATGGTGCAGCAGTGTTCAGTATACAAATTGTACAGCAAATTGTCTGATTGGGGGCGATGATGACAGCTGATGATGGTGATGAGAAGTCGGCTGCTGATGTCGCCTGCTATCACGGTCCACCGTCGACTGTTCTCCGCTTGTCTGTGCGTTCGTTGTGTGTTTCCTTTGATAGCAAGCAGCTTCACCGTTGATAGAATCATCCAGCCGCAAAAAGTGGTGGTGCTGGTGGTACTTTCCCTGGTTTGTACACTTTGATTTGCTACATTTTTGTGTGTTGTGTTTTGACAGTAGTGCTCGGCAGTTGCGGCGGCAGCGATAATGACCGCCGCCGTTGGCTCTAACACGGCGGAAACGCCGACACTGATTTCACTCACTGTCGTTCTGTGTCGCAGGTGCTGTCGCCTGTTTGTTGCGGTGGTTTCAATTGTGATGTGTCAGCAGTTTAGAAGTTTAGGTTTGAGTTTAATGGAGAAAAAACAGCCGACAAAAAGCAGACAAAAAGTTGATTATTCATTGATTTTTAAATGTCAAAATTAAAAAAGTTAAAGCTTAAGAAACTTGATAAAATGCAGAATATACAAAAAAAAACACACACAGTTCACTATGGCAACAGAGCTCATACTATAAACGCACTAAATCGAACGATGCGGTGAAAGCAAATAAAGTTAAACGGATGAGAAGGAAAAAAAAGCGGAAAAAGAAGAAAAGGTGAATAACAGAGAAGGAGAGAGAGAGAACGAGCATGTGTCTGTGTACAGCAAGTGTACACAAATATTGCACAATATTAATGGTGTTCAGTGCGTTAAGTGCACTGGGAGTTTAAAAAGGATGAAAACAAAAAAAGATGGCAAAACGATGTTAACCTGATTTTGGTTAACATGATGGTGATGATTATTAGATGCTAGTAAAAACTAGACAATTAAACAAAAAAATAAATCACAATTTAAAATTTATTTACAAACATTGTAAAAAATGTAGGGTCAACATAAACAGCAAAAACTGCAAAACGAATTTTTTTGTTTTGTTCTTCTTAGGTCAACAGTACTTTTTTAGCACAAAAAACACCAACATTATTTTTATAAAAAATAGATGGTCAGTGTTTTTTGTTTTTTTTAATTTGTAGATTCTATTAACAAGTCAAATTAAAAACAAAAATTAAGAAGCAAACAAATTTAGATCAAGTTTGGAGTTTGAATTAGTGTTATGGTCGAAGTGCAGTGGTTGTCCTTTGACTTAGTAGGCCAATGGCAAATGAATGGCAGTCCAGCAAGCAGGCACAAGCAGTCAAACCAACTGACTGTGTGGTCCTGAAGTGGCGCAAACTGAAACAGAGACGACAGCAAGAGTGAAACGACCAAGACGACCAAGACGACGAAGAAGAAGAAGACGACAACGAAAACGAGGCACCCGAAAAGGAGAAAAAGAGAGAAAAAGAGTATTCGCCTGCTGATAAACTGCAGTCTCTTTCTCAGTGTGTCAGCAGTGTGTGTGTGTGTGCAGTGGGTGCTGGGGCACACACGTTGGTTTGCCGCTTTTGGCGCCCAATACCACGACGGACCAAACTATATACGTGCAGTGAAAGTCCGGCAAAACATGGGCGAAAGAAAAAGAGAAGGAAAGAGAAAGAGAGAGAGAGAGAGAGAGAGAGAGAGAAACGATAGGAAAACTCATTCAATTGTCGAACTGTGAGCTGCTGCTGCTGCTGCTGCCCTAGTGTCTGTACAGCAGCAGTCGACAGTAGGGTAGTAGTCGCAGTAGGGTAGGGTAATGTAGGCAACGAACAGAACCGAACAGGGGACACAGGAGAAAACACTGCTCGCTCTTTGCACCGAAATTCTCTCATTGAAAGGTCGAGCCAATTTGAGGGCCCTTGACTGCCCCGTCGTCGGCAGTATTACAGTGTGCGCAGATTCTGGCTGGCCTGCCTCAGTACCGAAAACTGCCAGCACTTTTAGTAAAAGCCGAAAATATTGCCGCCTTTTGGTCATCTTTTTAATTTAGGCTGAAGATGACCACTTAATTTTGAAGAGTTTTTCTTTTTCAATAGGAACGCTTGGTTTTATATTGTTCTTAGATTTTCTTTCTGAGAGACCCAATTTTTCATGTATGCGCACACACATGTGCTCTGTTCTGTGCGACCAGCACTGGCCAGAGTGTGGCTGACCGACTGACTGACTGGCTGAATTACTGAATTACCACCGACAGACGGGAACGTTCCCTGCGTCCATTGTGTCAGCAGTGCTGCAGCAAACAACTGAAAAAACAGAGAGAAGAAGAAGAATGAACTAGTGTGGCAGAAGTCTGTGGAAAAGCTTTGAAACACAATTCTGTGATACAACCAAAAAGGAGAAAGTGAGAGAAAGAAAATACCAAAGTTGCTCTTTCGCTTTTCCTCCCTTGGTTATTTTTCCTCCTGCCGCCAAGAACTATTACTACTACTACTACTTCTACTAACAGACGTGCACAAAAAAAATACACGCCCGAAAAAATGAACCGGCGTCAAAAACTATATACGTTTGTGTATAAAGAAACCACTACTTCCACTACCACTCTTTCATTTGCTACCAGTGCCATCGATGATTAGCAGTTGCAATGGCGGCGGCGGCAGTGGCAATCATTGTCGAGCAGGACCCATCGTTTAACTCGGCCATCAAAACGTTTACAAACACATTCTCAATTCTGACTGTTTTTTTACTACTTTTCTCGTTTGTTTTGTACAATGGAAAGAGGTTTTGCTGACAAAACTGAATAGAAAAGCAATGGCATTTTAGTTTAAAAACTTTAAAAGATTTTTAGTTTAGAACTCATTGCTACCTAAAATGAGCGACACACAACAAAAATTAATAAAAATTTTTAAATTGACAAGGAGTTGATAGAATTAAAGAAAAAAGTGAACTACCAGCTTGAAAAAGAAAAGTCATCAAGTCAGCACTAGTCTTTGACAAAAATGATTGACAGTAGAGAAAGTTTAACAAAAAATCAATAGAAAAGTCAGCAGTGAATGGTTGAAACAAGCTGACACTCGATCTGCACTAATTCATTCTGCAATCAGCACAGAAAAAAAGCAAAACTTTTTTTCAGTGCTGATCGGAGCACATTCAGTGCACTTTTAGGGCAGCCATTTTCTGGTTTTGGCTGGTAAAAACTAGCCAATTTGCAAAACAGTCAACAAAATTACCAGCACCTCATGGGAGTGCAGCGGGGGGCACTTTCACTCACCCAAACTAAAAATTAAATTAGATTTCAATTTTTCATTTCTTTCTATCATCATTACCACCGTCACCACCATCATCACCACCAAGGTGCCGTCATCATCAAAGCACTTACACAAATGCCAAAAAAATAGAGCAGGTCACCACCACCATCACAGCAAAACAGCGAATCAAAATAGAAATCATAATAATAATAAAATTAGTGCTAAAAAGCAGTGCACTGAAGACAGTGAACAGTGAGGCTGTTTTTGCCGATTGAACAGGAGAGAGAGGCAGCGGGGAGAAAAAGACGAGAAAAAAACAAGGGGGCACAATAAACTCACACTAAACGAGCGAGAGTGAGTACTTTGCAGCAGTGGCAGCAACGCCCACATTGGGAAACACCACCACAAAGTGAACACTGCAAAACTGCAGTCCTTTCACAGTGCAAAAAGCGCAAAAAGTGAGCCATCGATCAGTGAGCTAGTCAGTCAAAGACTAACTGACTGGCTGGCGGCAGTGCCCTGTGACTGTACGACCACAGCCAAACGATGTTGTTCCTTGAAAGTCCTTTTCTTTTTCTTTATTTCTTCAGCTTGGATTACCCGCGATCGATTGGCCAGGCCAAATGTGAGTCTAGCCTGGCTTAATGCTGTTTTGGTCTGGTTTTCTTTTTTGTGCTTGGCCATTTGCACACTGACACACTGCTGCCAACTGGCTGAGAACTGAACTGCTGCTGTTGTTCTTTACGTTGTTGCCCATTATTTGTTCCTGGCAAGCTAGACAGCTAGGTTGAAAAAGGAAGCTCAGTTTCTGTTGGTTCCTCTTTTTCCTTTTCTACTAAACTGTAATTTGTTTTTATCACTGTCCACACACAACAAAAAGCTCATGCA